TTTTAAGCCAGGCTTAATGCGCCCTTTGACCCCAGGCTTAAGGCAGCATTTGAACCTAGGCTCAGAAAAAATAAAAAAACATGTTAAAACAACATAAAGCATTAGATATAAAACAGTTTCTGGTTATTAGCAGATTTAAATTTAATTCAGATATCAGGTAAACGGATCGGTTCTGCTGAGAGTCTGCTTCCCTCAGCACCGTCTCACAGGCAGTTGTCAGGCAGTCAGAGCAAAGACAGCAGGGAGGAGACCTGCTCTGTTTTCCCTTAGCTAATGGAATACACATGCAGGATATAACTGGAAATATAATGGAAATAGTTTTTATTACGCTCCCTTTTTTTCCTCTAAAACTGTTAATGGAAATAATGACCCGATTACCACATGGCTTCAAGCATCCGGTGCCTCTGATTGGTCAAATTAGATGTTTGCAGGATGGAATAAAAAAAATAATAAAACCTTCTTCTTTCATAAAAAAAAATGATAGAATCATCTACAACAATGAGGCAGTTAGTGATTATAGTGTTGTTTCAGGTGCCCCCACCCCCACCCCATGGTAAAGAGAAATAAAAACACTTGGTATGCCATCCCAGGATGACGCCATCCGTATCCTTCATGTCAAAACAAAACAAACACATTTTCAATGGAAGTTTGAAAAAATGAAATCCATCAAACTTTGAAAAGCTTCTGAATCAAACAGAGCTTTGAGAGTAACTTTGACGTTTTAATCAGATTTTATTTTTAGATTTATCTAATTAAAAATGCATTTTTAAATTTAATTTTTAAACTTATTTTTTCCAGATTGGGTTTTCTGAAGTTTATTATTTTTATTATTTTGTATTTGTGTTTGCAGATCACTCTCTTCCCCTCTGGGGGGCAGGCTTTCCACTGAAAATCAGATCATTCTATTGGTCAACAGCGGCGAAGGAATGCAATTAGTAACACTCAGGTCAGGACCTTCAAGCTTTCACTGCTGACCTAAAATCAACCAGAAACACTAACCTACATTCATGATTTATTCATTTCTTCCAAAATCCGTTCTCTTCATTTCGTGGCATTTCTCTTTGCTGCGATGCTTCCATTACATTTATCTGGTCTCTATATTTTCTGTCCAATCAGATTTCAGCCTTAATGTGTTGCCATGTCAACCAAATCCTCCCAGGGTCTTCTGAATCAGCATCGCTGCTGATGTTACCTTAACAACATTATTAGGAATATTTTCTTCAACCAATCAGATTTCAGATTCGCCCGACGGGGCAGCTAGTGGGCCCGCCCCTACGTCTGCATTTTCTGTCCTCTGATTGGTCAGTTAGAGCGAATTGTTTACAGCCAAGTTAAGCTAATGACAATCTACATTTTAGATTCTCTAAAATCTGCATTTAGTGTTTCTGACCTCAATGGCTGATGCTAAATGGAGATACTAAGACTTCCTGCACAAAGACAGAAGAATCAATGTTGTTTATAAATAATCATGTCTACTAGTTTGAAATATTTTATTTTGATCCTTTATGCGCTGTTTTATCTGGTGATTAGATGCATATCTAATCTGATGATGTAAACATGGTGCAGTAGAGGATTGCTGTCGTCTTAACGGGGCTATTTGCTAATTGGTCTCTGTATTCATCCTCACACTGATCTTCCTCTGTTGTATCTGCACCACACTATTGCTGGTTTATTTTATTAAAATGCAAAAGCGTCAATATTAACCCCTTGACATCAAGGGTTTAAGCAGCAGATAAAGTTGAGGGGTGCCCACTAAAGGCCTAGGGGCCAAATGCACCGCTTGCCACTGGTAAAACCCAAACTGAAAAAGAGACGCCTGGAAAAATAAAATCTGTATAAAAGAATTGAAAACAAAGAGTCAAAAAAAAAACTCTGAGAAAACAGCAGTTATTTCCAAAACCTCTCTTCTTTTCAAAGTTTAGTTTCTGGATTTTTTTTTTTTATTTCCATTTACAAAGCATGTTTTTTGTAACAATAACTGAACAAAATTCCCTCCTTACTTTACAAGAAGTCCACTGAATTAAGATTTAAGCAAAATGTCAAACTACGTCAGGCGAGTTGTGGGTTAAACTCAGCAGAGTTAACCATGAAACCAGAAACAACATGGCGGAGCATTGGACTCACCTCTGGAAGGTTGGCACAGTTGGACTTGACTTCATATTCGATGTAGGCTGCCTCTGATCCTGCCTCTCTGCCCATCTGCGTGTAGCACAGGTCTCTGGTGGAGTTAATCCTGCGGTCCACATCTTGGAGGTTAAATATGCACAGAGCAGAGTCCTCGCTTGGCCGAGGTGAAGAGGTCAAATGAGTGGAAAAGACTCCAAGAAGGATCTCTGAGGCTTCGCTCGTAGCGGCGCTCTTGGAGAAGCCGAGCTTCACAGCCTGGAGGAGGTTGTAGTTCTTTCCTGCCCTAGAGCGACACGTCAGCGGCACTTCCACATACGAATAATAGGCCTGATCGTCCAAACATACACGTGACACATATGTGCGGTACTCCCTAGACTGCGATTTCAGGTCCCGCCTGTAGAAAAAGAAGTAGACGTGGTGGCGGTGGGCAAACGAAGCCACGAAGTGATGGTCGTACTCCGAGAGACGGCCAGCAACGGCCAATTTGGCGGTCTCCTCGTAAGAAAAGATGGGCTCCTGGGCCAGGTTCCTGGTGGAGATGGGTGGATGGCTGCTGGTGTAACCCCGTCCCACAAACAGCAGCGGCTGTCTGTCCGGGTGGGGGCGGACCACAAGACCAACGGTGCTGACATTGGGGTGGTTAGCTGCAACATACTGAGTATCCACTGGCCTCTCTGTGGAAAAAAGCACCTGGTTGATTGATGTCAGATTCCTTTTCTGACAGATTCCTTGGTTGACGCTCCCACAGGTGATGAGTTCTCTGGAGAAGGGGTCAACCAGCAGCAGTTTGTTGTGGTTGCTGGTCCCCCTGGCTTGAGGGCAGTTGCTCTCTGTCACAGGAGGTAAACACTCTGGGCTATCTGTGACCGGGCCCGTGTCGTCCTGGACCCGGAGCTGCAGTAACGGGTTCAGCTGGAACAGCCGATCCCGGGCCCCGATGTAGACCCATCCAACCTGGGGGTCAGGATGCAGGGCCAGGTGCTCAAACGCCGTGTTGTTCCCCATGAAAGTCGGATAAAGGTCCGAGTGGGAAGACTCTGATCCTCCTGCAACACCTCTGAACGCCGGAAAGAGTGGCCAGCCAACGGCGACAAGCACCAGGCACCGCAGGGTTTGGACCGTCCATGCTGACAGACAACACACCGTCCCAGGAGGCATGGCGGCAGAGCTGAGGACAAGAAACCATTTCAGACATCAAGAAACATCCAGAATAACAGAACTTTCAAGGGTTCTGCCTTCATTTCCTGTTCAGGGGCCTTTGGGGGTATTGGCAGGAAGCACTACAGCTCAGGCATTAATGCAGACCAAACATCTGCTCTCTACCATATAACCAACACAAAGAGATGCATCAGAAGGGAACCAACATGATCTGATGGAGATCCTGAAGCTCCATAAACGGAGATCAAAGTGACTCGATCAGGACAGATCTAACTACATGTATTCTGATACAATCATTGCACCATTGCTGTAGATACGCTATATATGCTAAACTACAGCTACTAAATTCTTCATTTAATTGTTAATCTAAGAGCAGTATGTAAAGACAGGAACACTGAACCCACAGGCCTATGGCTAGATCTTAAGGATTTAACTGAAACCTGGTTAGCAGAAGGTACCCCAAAGATATCCAACATCAACTGAGCTCGTCCATGGAGCTGGTTGACAGTTGCCTTTTGTATCTATGCTTCTTTTTCTATGTCTGCTTCTGTCTCCTTGAACCCCAGTGGGCCTCAGCCGATGGCCGCTCACACTGTTTCTTTTGTTTTCTAAATAAGAATCTTACCATTTGCTTCTAGTGGTGCCTTCCAGAGGTATGTGACCTCCTGACCTCCCAGCTGCTCCGGTTAGAAATGCATCCTTCTGGACGTCACCTGCGGCACAATGAAAAGAAAACCGTAATAAGAGCAGGTGTGATTTACTCCCTAAACTAGAGATATGCGACCGTGTGTGGGTGTGTGTGGGTGTGCTGATCGTTGGTAGAATTTTTCCACCTGTTCTGACAGGATTTTAGAGATGGAGGAGCAGCTCTGACCAAAAACACAATTTCCCATAATTCCTCTTCAGGTTTATCAGCACTCCATGGGGAAATGATCCAGAGTTTCAGGTCTGTTTATGCTCCAAAACACAAAGCTGATACTTCTGTACCAACAGCACACTGGGTGCACTGGGAGTACTGGCATCGCCTACACGCCCAGGCAGCTGTCCTCTAATGCAGCCACTTTTGAGTCTGCTGGTTTTATGGACTGGAAAGGATCAAACAAATACTGCGACGATAACTGGGGGCCTCATCGGTTCACTCTATGATCCAGTCGCCTAAAGCTGGGCATACACTACGATTTTTTGTAGTAGTTCTCTCTGTAAAACTGACAGATCGTAGTAGCCTCGTTAGCTCAGCCATGTCTTTATCCAAATATGTCATCGACTTTTCTTTTTAGGGCTTTCAGCACAAAATTGCCCAAATATGTAAGGCAGCGCGTTTCACTCTAGTGAGCTTGATGTTTCTCTTCTACTAGGTTGGTTTCTGGATAGACGAGTCCGAGTAGCGCCATCTCACTGCGGAGCTGAGTCCCACCTGGTTTTTAGACGTACAGTGGGAGCTGTAGCTGCGTGCAACAATTGAAAAAAAATTGTACAATGTTTGCCCGGCTTCAGCGCCAAGACACCAACCATTCCCTCATCTCCGACCAGAGGGGGCGCTGTGGTAAAACGGAGTAACTCAGCACACAGCCATTAACGACTGAACTCTTCTCTCAGGCCATGCAGAGAATCTAAATCCAATTAAAAAAACTGCTTCTTGATCCAGAAGAGAGTAAAAAACAATCAGACCGTTAAACATCCCATACAGAAAAATCCCATTATTTGATCATTGCACTGAAAAAAAAAGGCAGTGAGACCAAGATGGCTGACGCACAGGGAAAAATACCAAACACCTTGGATATTTTGGTCGCTACGAGGAGCAGAGAAAAAAACATTCCAACAGAATACCATATTACGACGGGAAAACTGCATTACAAGTATATCCGTAGCTATATCTATACTTTGTTGGTATATTGATATTTTTTTACTGTATAAGATGCATAAAGTACTCTGGAGTGGACAGATAAATGTTTCTTGACAGAATAAAGATTAGGACCAGGCAACAGATTTTTCTTTCTAAATACGAGAATATTATGAGAATAAAATCAGTAAAGTTGTATTTTATGTCAACTCTTCCAAGCAGCTCCGTCTTCCCTAAAATGAGGAATGTGGAGCATCATGTGAAGTTATTGTATCAGAACGACTCTGAGCTGGAAGCTTTCTTTCTGAAATGGTTAGCTCTATGATGACTTCTTTCTCGTCATTTTTTCAACTTTATTCTCGTATAAAAAAAAAAAAAAACTCTAGTCTGGCTCTGACACACTGTCGTACCTAAGGAAGTATAAAAACAGTAAAAAAAAATCTTGAGTTAATCATAAATTAACACATGAAAGGGTTAATATACTGCTGTAGTTTTTATTGATTAATTCCACTGTCTTAAAAATCTAGATCTTTGCGAGCTTTGTGATGTCGTTTATCTACCATCACAAACCCAGAGTCTGATTTGATTCTGATAAAAACATCTACATAGAGATCGGCCGATGCCGTTTTTAAAGCCGATCCAGTACAGATTATTCCGACATCCTGATCCCCGATATGTGATGCCAGGTTTTTTTTTAAGCCTTTATTGTAGGGATGCACGATATTGGGATTTTGGCCGATATCCGATATGCCGATATTTTAA